TAGCCACCTAAGCAACTATGATACAGAGTGCTGAATGCAGAGACCAGGGAGTGTGAGTGTAAACCAAAACTAAAATTATAAGACTCCAACTCACTGAATGAATCCCTCTTCTCAGCCAAAGGAATTTCAAAGGAAACCTAAAAAACTAGTTCAGGTGATGATGATGGGACAGGAAGTGGGACAGCCTCATGTTACCCTCCTCCCTTTGGAATCCAGGCACAGCTGACCAGCAGTAACATTAGAATAAAGATTTTAAGACTGACAAAACAGACTCTTTGTAGCAATAAATACCGAATTCCAGCCTGAGTCTATATAACATCACATGACAGATAGTAGGCCCTGAAGGAAATCAAAGTATTTTACCCCAAAATATATTACTTTGACATATTTTGAAGTGGCCCTGCAAAGCTATCTCTTACGGGGAAATGTATACTCTAAAGAGACTCCCCTTCCCTTTTCAGGTCTTTTCCTGATGCAGAAGAGATTAGCTAAGAGTCTGGCACCTTTTTAGATTTGATAAGAGACGTTTACCACCTGTTCTCTCTGAAGCCTGCTACCTGGAGGCTTCATCTGCATAATAAGAACCAGGTCTTCACAATCCCTTGTCTTAACCCAGACACGCCTTTCCATTGTTTTCAGGTCTTTAGATAATAACTTAACTCTTTCAATCAATTGCCAAACAGAAAATATTTTAATCTATCTATGTCCTGGAAGCCCCCCTAATCCCCACTTCAAGTTGTCCTGCCTTTCCAGACCAAATCAATGTACACCCTACATGTATTGATTGATGTCTGCCTGTAACTTCTGTCCCCCTAAAATGTATAAAATCAAGGTGCAACCCGGCTACCTTGGGCACATGTTCTCAGGACCTCTTAAGACTGTGCCTCGGGCTTTGTCACTCGTATTTACCTCAAAATAAATCTCTTCAAATATTTTACAGAAGTTGACTCTTTTTTGGTTATGATGAGGACCACATTGACACAAGAATAATACAAGGTGATCACAGGAGAATAAAAAATTCCAGGGAGCAGTTTCATGTGACTAGAGGCTATGGGTTGTTAAGACCGCAAAAAATGAAGGTGTGAATCGAGCTGGACCCAACGTTGCACGGGGTTTGACCCAGATTTCACCTAGGACCTCCTTATACACTCATTAACATACTAAATCACACACCAACGTCATAACATTTCCAACAACACCCATATTAGGTATAAAAATGGGTTGCATCACAGTTCCAAGGAATCTCCACCTTCCCCCAGGAATTTTCATGAATATTCCACCCCTTGATTAAAGAAACCATAAAGGTAGTAGGAGCCCCAAACTCCATTTGCACAACTCTCTTCCGTATGCCAGCAATTCCCTTTCTTGAGTGTGTGCTTTTTGTTCTGCAATAAGTCTCTACACTTTCACTATTTTCAATTCATCCTCAAATTCCTCCTTGCAATGGTGTCGAGAGCCTAGACACTGGCTGATGTCAGCGTCCCAGTGGCATTTGGGGACTTCCCTAGCACACTGGTATCAGCATCACATTCATCTCCTCACTGCTCTTCTAGCATCTGCCCTTCCCTCCACGCTTCCTCCCAACCTAGCCCTAATCTGTTTCTTTTTTTTTTTTTTTTTTTTTTGGATGGAGTCTTGCTCTGTCACCAGGCTGGAGTGCAATGGCACCATCTTGGCTCACTGCAACCTCCGCCTCCTGGGCTCAAGTGATTCTCCTGCCTCAGCCTTCCGAGTATCTGGGAATACAAGTGTGCGCTACCACGCCTGGCTGATTTTTGTCTTTTTAGTAGAGACGGGGTTTCACCATGTTGGCCAGGATGGTTTTGATCTCCTGACTTGGTGATCCATCCACCTCAGCCTCCCGAAGTGCTGGGATTACAGGTGTGAACCATCATGCCCAGCCCCTAGTCTGTTTTCTACACAGCACTGGGGCGGATGCTTTTAAGGTTTAAGCCAGATTATGCTACTTTTCAGCTCAAAATCCTCAAATGATATCCCATTTCTTTCAGAACTAAATCCAAGATCCTTACAATGAACTACAAATCTGGGTGTCCATTTCTTCTTTGAATATAGGTCATACCCTGCTAGGGGAGCACCGAACTCCAGCCCTGCTGATCCTGTCAGGAAATTCCTCAGGCCCATTTTTCCTGCCTCAAAGCTTTGATTAGTAGTCTTGTTCTGCCCCCTCTCCTACCTTTGGGTCTCTGTTCCTGGCAATTTGCCACAGGGGTCTGGCCTGACCCTCCTCTTTTATGAGATGGAGTTTTGCTCTTGTTACCCAGGCTGGAGTGTAATGGTGTGATCTCAGCTCACCACAACCTCTGCCTCCCGGGTTCAAGTCATTCTCCTGCCTCAGCCTCCTGAGTAGCTGGGATTACAGGCATGCACCACCATACCCGGCTAACTTTGTATTTTTAGTAGAAACGGTGTATCTCCACTTTGGTCAGGCTGATCTCGAACCCCTAAGCTCAGGGGACCCACCTGCCTCTGCCTCCAAAAGTGCTGGGATTACAGGTGTGAGCCACCGTGCCCGGCTGACCCTCCTATTTTTAATAACACTTAACCCTACCTTCCAAATGTTTCACTCAGTTTATTTTTCTGGCACTTTACATATTTATTTATTTATTCTATTCTCTGTTACCCCTCGCTAGATTGAAATCTACATGAGAGCAGCCACTCTGCCTTTTATGCTGCTGCTTTGTCTGTTTTGTTCACTGATGAGTCCTATTCTAAATATCCAAAATTTAGATTCTGGACAAACAAATATTTAGATTCTGGGCTAAACAAAATTTAGATTTGGACCCAAAACAGATGTAGATAAATATTTATTGAATAAATAAAATACATGTTCATCATTCATGTAGACTCCACAGTTTCGTAGGGCAACTACAGGTCAAGCCCAGTCTCTTATTTGTTTTTGGGGATTTTTCTTGGCAACACACATGCCCCAGGCTCTGGGTCCTCACTCCTCAGGGGCAGCTGAGCAGACCAGGACACGTCCAGTCCTGCCCCAAACAACTAAATCAAGGACTTTCTTCTAACCCCAAGTCACACTCCCTTTAACAGCAGTAAATGCAGCTTTCTTTATCTTGTAACTTTCTCAGTGGTATCTGATGCCCTTGTAATTTGTGCTCAAAGAAACAGCCTGGCTGGTCGGCCCACACCCCATCCTCCAACCATGGCAAGCAACCAGCACATCATTCAGGACCGGAGAGCACACAGGAGAGGTGTCAGACTGAGGGGAAAGAAGAGTCACAGTTTTAATTTTACACTTTGAAGAAACTTTGCATGAATTACAGGAAGTGGAACTCAGCAAAACCATCTTCTAGGCAGAGATAGGCAGGAGGGAGGTTATGGCAGACACTAGTCTGTTGCTCACAATGGGATAGAAGCACAATTTGCACATGAATACATTGTGAACACGTGTCAAAGTTCTATTTTAACCTATTAATGAGGGAAACAGTGGGATGGCAAAGGTGCTTCAAAGGAGAATGCACACAACTGACCTACGCGCACAGTCAAAAGCAGGTGAGAGGAAAAAGGAAATGCTGGCAATGAAGCAGATAAATCAGATAGGAAGCTGGTTATGACTCTCACCCCAGGAGGGGTCATTTGCCTTATACTCACGCCCGCGTGCACACACACACACACACACACACACACTCTCTCTCACACACACACATTTTAATAGAGACAGGGTCTTGCTATATTGCCCAGGATGGTGTTAGCAAACTCCTGGGCCCAAGCATCTCACACCTCAGCTTACCAGACTGCTGGGATGATAGGCAGGAGCCACCCTTCCCGGTCCATTTGCATTTTTACTGGATGAGATCTCTTCTGCCACCACTGGAGAAACAAGATTTGTCTCTCTCACAGACCACAAGCTTTCAGCTTAGTTGACTAGAAGTTAACTTTTCCCCTTAAAAGAGTTGTAAAATATCCTCACTGTAAATAGTAAATCAAAACTACTAGAGTTCAATGACCTCTGACTGGCTTGTCGGACAAGTGCGTCGCATGACTGAAGGCCAAAGCATCATTTCTGCCTTACTTGCAAGTTCTGGCTCTGACTGGTACAGTCAGATGGTGCATGCTCTATATTAATCAAATGAGGCTTTGAAAGCTGGGAAAACGTTGGGGACTTGCCTCGGGTGACATCTGTTTGTGTGCCCCCCTCCTTCTGCCTCCTGTGCTGCGCAGCTCACGTCCTTTATGCCCCTCTGTGATGCATCTACCGCCTGGTCTCCACACTCAGCATTCCGCATCAGGTGGTTTAAGCGACTCGCCCTCCCTCTAGGCGACAGGAGCAGTCTTCCTGTCCTTTCAGCCTTCAGCTCAGGATCTGGCACATCTTACAAGTTCGATAGTGTTCGCCGAATAACCTCATGAATGAGGTGGGACCTGAGCTGTGCTGTGAAAAAGGGTGTCTGCGAGGACATGGAGGCGGGGTCAGCGGAGGCGAGGACAGCGCGAACTCTGCACAGTTGTCTGCGGCCGGAGGGTGCCCTGCAAGGCGGGGGAGGTTACGGCCAAGTTCAAGTAGGGTCAGCGTAGGAGGACACTGGCATAAAAAATAGCCACATCCAAGGCAGCGGCGAGGTGTGGGGACCTTCTATGTCGGTGGGCTTTCCCACCCCCAGCCGCCTTCCCATCACGCGTGGGTGTGGGGGCACCGCCCCCGCGGCGCGCAGTAACGGCGGGGAGACCCAGGAGCGCAGCGGCTTCGTGATGCCAGACTGAGCAGTGGGTTCGTCTGCGGCCACCTCCCAGGGAAACAGCTTCCTCCCGCGGAGACTCTGCTTCTTTTAGAAGCCTTCCTGGGGCTGCTCAAGGGCGACAGGGCGACCTCCCTCGGGGAGGGAGAGCCTGGCAGCCCCCTCCCATTCGCGAGCGGTGCAGCGCCTCCTCCCACCCCGGCCGCGCGCGCCCCGCAGCCGCGCCCCAGGCCGGGCCTCCAGTTCCCGGAGCCCGCGGGCGCGCGCCTGGCCGGGCGTGTCGGGAGCGAGCGGCGGCCGGGGGCGGAGCGCGGCGAGGGCTGCTGGGCGCGCCCGGGCTCACGCCCGCTCCCCGCCGGGCCCTCAGCGCTCGCCGGCTCCCGGCCCCAGTCCGCCTGCCCGCCCCGCGCAGGGGCCGAGTCGCGAGCCGCGCCGGCGACCCGGCGTCCGGGCGCGCCGGAGAGGACGCGAGGAGCCATGAGGCGACAGCCGGCGACGGTGGCGGCGCTGCTGCTCGGGCTGCTCTTGGAGGTAGGGACCGGGGGCCGGGCGCAGTCGGAGGCGCGGCCCCCATGCTGGCGGCTGGGCGCGCATTTCCGAGGTGCCCAGAGGACCTTCCCAGAGAGCGCGGACGGTGGAGCGACGTGGAGCCGCAGCCCCGCAGCCCTGCGCGCGTCCCGGAGCTGGGAGCTGCGGGACCCCGGTGGCAGGGAGGCTCCCGGCCCCAGTCCGCGCCTCTCGTGGTCCCTTAGGTTCTCGCACCCCGCCCCCACCCTGCGGGCGAGCGCGTTTCCCGCGCGGGTCGCTTCCGCGAGCTCGGGGTGACCTTTGTGCACCGTCCGCCCCCTCTCCCCGCCGCGGAGGACCGAGGATCGGAGGAGCCCCGCGTGGGGTGGGGGTGGGGGTCCTTGGGCGCGGCGCAGGCGCGGAGAGTTCGGGGCGCCGGGCGGTTCGGGGTTGGGGAGGGACGGGGGCCGAGCTGGGGCGAGGGGGAGCGGGCGGAGGGGACTGTGGGGAGTGTCGCGGGTGCGCTGGGGGCTGCGGGGGTGAGCCGCGGGAGGAGGCGTTTCCGCGTGTGAAAAAGAAGCGCAGCCTTGAGGTGCGGGAGGAAATTCCGCGGAGAGCCTGGCGCGCTGGGGTGTGGAGCCGGAGCCGGCGGGGAACTTGTTGAGCGGCTTCTGGGTTCGAGCGCCCGTGGCGGCAGCCCTGGCGGGGACCGCGGCTGCTCCTGGCTGTGAAACTGCATCGTCGCATGCGGCCACCCACTTCTCGCTAAAGCAGGTTCCTTAAAATGCGAACTAGAGGAATTCTGGGGTGTCGAGTCTGAATCAGGGCTTGTTCAGCTTTCTCCTCAGCTTCATTATTTTGAAGGAAATTTACATTAAATTAATGAAGTCAAAGTGAATAGGTAATGAGTCCCATGCCTCTCTCTGTTTTAGGAAGTTGTGAAACTCTCTTCCTTAACAGTTGAAGGTTGATGCTGGAAATTACTAGTTTGTCTTCGCCCTTTATTAAAAAGTAATTATTACAAAATGTTGGAGGAAAAGTGTTAGTTTTCCTGAAAGGGAGGCTGGCGGAAAAGTTTCTCCTTGCACCAGGCCCGGCTATAGCCAAGACTTCCTGTTTCTGTTCAGAAATATCCCCCTAACTCGATGTTTAACGTTTTTGTGGAGTGCCTCTGCTTGCATTCTTTCCATTTGTTCAGAATTTTTAAATCTTGGGAATCACATTCTCTCAGTGACTCACCATAGAGAACAAAGAAGTGAATCAGAGACTACTAATCACATGAAAACAGATGTGTGTGTACCTTAATGTATGTAGGGATACTTACAACGTTTTTCTAATCGACATTTGCTGATATTATTTAGCATTCCTTTCATGCTAGTTTATGTCACCCATGTCTCCCAGGCCTTCCATTTGAGTGGTTCTGTGCCCTCTGGGTAGCCTAGATGGCCTCAGTAGCTCCATTCTTTCCCAAACAGTTGTTTCGTTACGTAAGAATTTATCGTCTTAATAGGAGTTCAGATCATGTCTGCAAAGTTGAAACATGATGTAAAACTGAAACCGAAATGCACAAGGTGATACTTTCACAAACTCAAATATTAGATGATTGGCCGTCTTTGTTTCGGATGAGACTGTGGTGTCACCCACTTTGACATGGTGATTATCCTAAGTACCCACTTTTGTCTGTGCTGGAGAAGCGTCTCTCTGAGTAATTAAGATTTCTTTATCATTCATCACATGGAATTGCATGTAAGGGACTTGTAGCTGAGATGTTTCATCTCCCGTGGGGTGCTCTGATGGTACCTCGGATGCTTCTGAAGTCCTGAATCACATACCTGGATGTGCAATGGCAGGTGTGGAGCACCTACCGTGGCAAATGGCTCTCTTCACGTTGAGTTCATAAAAGCAACCCCGGGAGCAATTTAGTGGCTTCTGGCTTCTGACTGCCAGCTGCAACTTGGGACATTTGTCTTAGCCTCTTTGTTCTGGCTGAGCTGGTTTCAGTGTCTAAATTTGCCATGTGGTTGATCATAAACCACCTGAAATTAAGGGGTGGCCTTGCGGCAGTGGTGGCTCTGCGCCCACCCCCGGCACCCTGTCCCTAGCTGGCACCATCCAGAATCTCACATGCATAGGGTGTCTGTGTTAGTGAGAGCTCCTTGAGTAGGAAGGGCAATCCAAAGCTTGTTCTGAGTAGGGCTTTCCTCCCTTGCCTCACTGTCCCTTTATAAAAATTTACTTACCTGTTAGACATAGAACTGCATATTTATTTTTGCTTAGCAAACATTCTTAGAGTGCTCCAGGGTAACTGCCAGGCACTTTTCTATACATGTTGCAAATGTTTTCTCATTAATCCTCCTAGCAATTACTCTGATCTTTTCTTTTTTTTTTTTTCCAAATGGGAGGTGTTAGAGAATGTGTCCCAAGTCTCACTGCTGTTAAATGTGAGGGCATAAGATCCTAACTGGGGTGGTCTGGTTCCAGTGTATACCCAGTCGAGATGCTCTGCTTCCTCTGCCCTGTGGAGGAAGGAACATGTTAGGATTTTGCATGCTGTTCATTCCTAACAGGAACATGTTAGGAATTTGCATGCAGTGCCTTTCGAGGTCAGTGGTGGGCTTGGAGAGTGTATGCCCCTTAGAAACTCGGTCACCCGGCCTGGTGAGGTGGCCCATGCCTGTAATCCCAGCACTTTGGGAGGCCAAGGCAGGCAGATCACGAGGTCAAGAGATCAAGACCATCCTTGCCAACATGGTAAAACCTCGTCTCTGCTAAAAATACAAAAATTAGCTTAGCAGGGCGTGGTGGTGACGCACCTGTAGCCCCAGCTACTGGCGGGCAGTGGAGGGGAGGGGGTGAGGCAGGAGAATTGCTGGAACCCAGGAGGCGAAGGTTGCAGTGAGCAAAGATCATACCATTGCACTCCAGCCTGGTGACAGAGCAAGCCAATGTCTCAAAAAAAAAAAAAAAAAGAAACTCTGTCATCCTTCTTTAGAAAGACCATGTGATTTGGCCTACAAACGGTGACACTTTGAAGAGTGTAATCGGATGCTGTTAAGAACAGTGCCTGGACTGTGGGCATCACCAGGACTCTCCCAAGAAACCCTGGTTGTGTTCCCCTCCTGAAGCCCAGGCAGCTGACAGCACCATCCCTCCCCTAGGGAGGCTTCTTGGAAGCTCATTACTGGAGTGACCTTTCTTTTCTATTAACTCGGTTATGCAGCCAGTGAGGGCCCTGATTTTATCTCCCTCTCCCCTGTCACTCTGTGCCAGCTGGGTATGATCTAGGGACCTAGTTCACAAATGTAGCAGATTCTCAAGGGTGGCTAAGAGGAACCTCAAAGGCCTTTTTGGTTCATAAAATGCTGAGGTTCTATGCTTCTGTTCTGCCAGCTGGCTGAAGTGAGGTCCTGCAAACAATCCTTACAGGAAGAGTGAAAGAAAGTACCAAGCTGTCTCCTAGTAGCCCTGCTGAAGTAATTCCCAGTGGCCTTCATGCAATAACTCCTTGGAAACTCAAAGAAAAAAAAGGTTTTAAAACTGACTACACTTTAGTTACACCCCAGGAGTAATGAGGCCCTGAGCATGTGCACCTCCCCAGGGCTTTGTGTTCTGTGCATTGTTTTCTAGATACTGTCACTGCAGTCTCTTTCTAGAGTTTTGGCTGTTGACACTTTTGAAATCTACCTAGTGTTTGTTTGAAGGGCTCTGTTCTTACAGAAGTGAGCCCAGCAGTGTGTAGTATACTATTTAGTGCAAAATTCACCAGTGCCAGTGCTCTAGGTTCTGCTTCCGAAGAGGTAGAATCATTTTAGTGAAGGGACTGATCTCATTATCTTTCTGATCTTTGCCAGGAACCAAGAGCTGGAAACTCTTAAGCCAGGTTGCCTTGTGCTTCAATGCTATTAGGCAAAAGAAGCCATCGTGTCTGAGAGAGACAGGGTTGGAAAGTGGACATTATCTTTGAACTAGGGAAAAATCAGAAGGATACTGAGTATTTTTTTTGAAGTCCTGTATATTTTCACGCCTGGAAGTCTGGAAATTAGAACCGAGTTATGTTTAAGAGTGTTTTTTGTCTCTTGCCAAATGTTTTTTGTGCCCTGGAATTCCAACAAATGTGGCAGTCCCTGGCTGCCAATTTCCTGAAATAAACCTTTTCAGCCCACCCACTCTTTAGAGTTTTTAGAAACTGAGCAATATGCAATTTGAATGAAAAAGAATACTGCAGGGAATCTGCTGTCTCTGGAATTTCCATAGGAGGCTAGGTGGTCACCAGTGAGAAGTGGCAGTAGCAGGTGAACTGGGTGGCAGGAGTTCTGCTCTGAAGCGGGAAAAGCCTGGCCCCAGGTGTCTGAGGAGGGCCGAGGGCACTGGGCCCACACCTGGGGCTTTCCATGGTCTTTGTTTTCCTTTATTTTGGGCACAGTTATAAAGGCCAACTGGGGGCGTAAATGACTTAAAAATACATGTCAAGGATAGGATTAGGCTAATGCTTGCTTGATTAGCTCCCCAGAGCAAGGGCGTTTCCTAGAACTCTCTGTCATGTCCTCTTGAGGAAGCTTCTCAGATGTCACCTTGTCAGTGAGGTCTGTCTTGACCACCCTATTTAAAATTTATTCCCAGTTCTCTTTCTGGCCTACCTTACTCTGAACGATATCCCGTAACTATCTTTAAAATACGACAGAATTTACTTTCCACAATGTAAGCCGTTTAGGGGCAAAGTTTTGCTCTGATTTATTGATTGACATATCCTCACTCCTGGAACCATGCCTGGTGCAGAGCAGGGACTCAGTAGACACCTGAATGAGTAAAGTGGTCAGTGGGTAAGGGCCTTGTGGGCAGGAACTGAGCAGGTCGGCAGTGGGAGAAAGGGAGGCAGTGGATTAGGGCAGGAGGGCAGCGGAGCACCTCTAGTGATGAAAATCCGTTGTCTCTCAAGACAAAGTATCAACTTTTGGGGCAACTTCGGTTGTTAACAGTGTTTTTTTTTTTTTTTGTAATATTGAGGGGAAATGACAGTATTTTCT